AACAGTATTCTAAATTTATGCAAGAATACATAGATATGGGACATATGTCGCCAGTAGTAGATTTTACAAAATTTGACTCTAACCCCAACTATTTTCTGCCGCATCATGCTGTTACAAAGGATACGTCAGAAACAACAAAATTGCGGGTTGTATTTGACGCATCCGCAAAAACTACGACCAACTTATCTCTAAATGATGTTCAAAATAGCTCTTTGTATACAACAATCAATATTCTATATACTCTTGCGCTTCAGAACTCACCAAATTGTATTTACCGCGGATATTGCTTAAATGTACTGCTGTATTAAAGTGGATAGCAATGAATTAAAATTTCGGTGATAGATCACTTTAGGTCCCTTTGATTTTCAATATGATTTTGATTATTACTGATAAAGAAAGCAATTTCAAGATAGTTAATTTAATTTTTTTCTTTGTTGATTGTGCATCTTGGATAGGTATAGCGATATTAAGCTGATAAGAATAGATATTATTTATTGATCTGTGTCAAAGGTTGAGAAGCGAGAGGATATAAGGCATTAGTGACTAGTGATTTTTTACAATTATTATTATTTTGTTCATTTATTTTGTTTACTTCAATAGATTTGTATTTTATGGCAAAATCAGCATACCACCTTGGTAAATATTTACAATATTTAATGTTTATCGAAAGGGTTTTTTTTGAGGTTTTTTACTGGTTTTATTGATTTTTTACTGGTTTTTTACTGACATTTTGAAAATTCCTACCTAATTTGTGATTAGTTTCCTTAACCTTCCGTTAGTCGCGCCCGGTCTGTGAGACCGACCATACACTTTTTTTCGTGGTATTCTGGAAATAAAGGTAAGAGCCACCTCCCCCCTCTATGTATCTTCTCAACGGTTCACCACGGAACATCAGTGCTAATGAGAGTGTTGGAAGTGGTTGTTTTGCCGAAAATATTTACTCCTACGGTGTATATGTGCTTAAATCATATTATTGGAGTTTGTCAGGAATGCCGAGAAAATACTCTTCACTAACTTTGAACATGTTTGTTCAACTTTTTTTTTAGTGTAAAAGAACTCGTGAAAGAGTTATATTTTACTCTTCGTATTATATCCTGTTTTTATTTTCTGGATGTGACTAAATAACGTGCAGTAGGAAAAAAAGCACCATTTTCAAAGATTTTGTGGTAAATTTGGAAAAATTGGCCAAATGTACTCCATTTTTTTTTTCTCAATCATTTATTATGTTTGTTAAAACATCCCTACATGTATTTTTTGAAAAGTACATTTCGCTATTTATTTGGGGGTTGATTAAGTTGTACGGCCTGTGAGACCGACGCGACTACTCACTTTGAAAAATTTGACGCGACTATCCGAACTTAGTAGTTGTCTATTAATGACCTGACGGTGCAATCTTTGCATTGAAGTAAATGGTCATTATTTTGAACAATTATTGTAAACCATAATTTATTTGTTAATAAATAAGCAAAATTAATAAGTAAACAGTGATTTAATTATTGCGAAGAATAAAAGTACCAAACAATTTTTTTGCTCTACAGCCCAAATGGCTCATTTGCGGACATATGTTTATATAAACAAAAATGCTTGTTTTTTGTTTTGATGTCCCTTACTACCCTTTAAAGTTTGTCGGTATCTTTTTAGGACACCCTGTATATTTAAATAATATATTGTTTATCAAAAAAATGAACTCATCCATATTTTTTTTTCTTCATTATGTCCTAATAATTGCTCCAATGCAAATTTGAACATAGAAAAATTGTCCGTTTTTAGGGACCTAATGTGTTCTAGACCCCAACTAGCACTGGACAACAATTTTAATTTTCCAAATGCATCCGAATCAATTATAGATGATTTCTACATGGACGACTGGCAGCTCTCAAATTAATAAATGACGTTAACAATATTCTTAGTTCAGCTAATTTCAACTTACGCCAATGGTCATCTAACGATCAGAGGATTTTAGATCATTTTAAAGATTCCGAAAATCCCAATATTCCTTTCATAATAAAGTCAAACCAGAATTCGAAAACCTTGGGTACTTTCTGGAGCTCACAATCTGATTCGTTAAGATATTTGACACGGCCTAGTCAACATACAATCTTCACTAAACGTAAAATCTTATCCATAATTTGCCAAATTTTTGATCCTCTTTGGTTAATTGGCCCAGTGATTACCCGAGCAAAGATATTTATTCAAAAATTGTGGCAATTAAAACTTAGCTGGGATGACCCTATACCACAAGAATTCTTAGTGTCTTGGTATCAATTTTATAATAACATTCATTCACTGGATTCTTTAGAATTTCCTAGACATATATTAATCAAAGATCACAATTATACTGAGATGCATGTATTTTGTGATGCTTCACAAATCGCTTTTGGTAGTTGTATATATTTTAGATCTGTCGATACAAGTGGTCAAGTTTTAGTCAGGCTAGGTTGTTCTAAATCTCGAGTAGCTCCACTTAAGCTGGTTTCACTACCCAGACTGGAGTTATGCGGAGCCTTGTTGGCCGCTCAGTTTGCCAACACAGTTATTGAAGCAGCAAAGATTAAAATTGATGAGATATATTATTGGAGCAATTCAACCATTACACTAGCATGGATCCGCTCAGATCCTAGTCGTTACAAGGTTTTTGTGGCTAACCGAATAGCAAAAATACAAAACTTATCCAAATCTTCACCATGGCAACATGTATCCTCAGAAAATAATCCCGCAGATTACATATCTCGTGGAATTAATCCCGATGAAATAAAAGATCTTGATATGTCGTTTAATGGACCTGATTGGCTGTTAAAAAATAAACAATGTTGGCCAAAATTTATGCCGAACATTAATGACGAAATTCCTAATCAAAAACCAATTAACAATGTCCTCACGGTTCAGATTCCAATAAAAAATGAATTAATTTGTAAATATTTTTCCTTTAATAAACTTCTACATATTCCAGCTTATATTTATAGATTCAAAAATAATTGCCTTAATCCTCCTGGTAAAAGAGTCTGTGGTAACTTAACTATCACTGAAATTGAATTTGCAACTCAAAGGAGTGATAAGGTTGTTCAAGACGAAGCCTTCTCCTCTGAAATTCAAGATTTGAAAAAATCTAAATTCGTCTCTCGAAGCAGCAAATTATTTTTGCTCGATCCATTTTTAGAGAACATGGCATTATCCGCGTAGGTGGACGCCTCAAAAATGCTAATGTTCCCTTTGAATTTCAACGCCCGATGATTATTCCTACTAACCATCACTTTACTGCGTTGCTTATTCGACATGAACATTTTAAAAATCTACATGCAGGACCGCAATCCCTGTTGTCTATAATTCGCCAACGTTACTGGCCACTTTGTGGTAGGCGTATTGTAAGATCTTTATTGAAAAAATGTATAGTTTGCTTTCGGATAAATCCTTTCACTTTTCAAAAAATGGGAGATCTACCCGCTCCCAGAGTCCAAGCTTCACACCCATTTTCAATTTGCGGTGTTGATCTTGGTGGACCTTACCTAATAAAGAATGTTTTTTTGCGAAACACGAAGTCTGTTAAGGCTTGGTTATGTGTGTTTATTTGTTTTTCAAGTAAGGCTGTGCACTTGGAACTTGTGACCGAGCTGTCAACAGACAAGTTCTTGAAGGCCTTCAAACGGTTTATTGCCAGAAGGGGTCTTTGCTCAGAAGTATTTTCAGATAATGCCGCCAATTTTATCGGGGCTGAAAATATTATTAATCAAGTCGAGGAAAGAGATTTTCAAAATTTTTTGGTTGAGAGTAAAATTAAATGGAATTTCATTCCACCTCGGTCACCCCATGTTGGAGGTTTATGGAAATTGGCGGTGAGGTTAACCAAATATCATCTAAAGAGAATTTTGCAAAATACTTTATTTACATACGAAGATTTTAATACAATTTTGGCACAGGTAGAATCCATAATTAATTCTAGACCTTTGGTTCCCCTCTCGGAAAATCCAGAGGACTTGGAAGTACTTAGTCCAGGTCATTTTTTGGTCGGAAGGTCATTATTAACCCTTCCTGAAAAACCCGTTGATGACTCTCGTCGTACCTATGCGTCTCGTGATAGTAAATTTAAGCGCTCTGTCACAAAAATAAGTGTTTTATATACAGTGTGATTTTGTTAATCTGCAACATATGGGGATTTTTTTTAGTAATAGCACAACCCAAATACAAATAAGGCCAAAAGTTGGTGCATGTCTGATAATCATATTAGGTAGTCTTAGAATGGTTGCAAGTCAAACAGCATACAGGGTAGCTCAAACAATATCAAAGCTGTACTGTAGGGTACCCTTATTTTAGAAAATTCAGCAAAATGTTATAGAGAAAAGTTGTTTGGAATTAAAAGTTATGCCTAAGTACCAAAACATAGCCTCCTAAGATTTTTTTTATTTTTTTTTTCGAAAAAAATCTATAATTCCTATATTTTTTTTATTTTTTATTTCCGCCCTCAATATTTTCAAAAATTAATCAAAATTAAATCAATTTTACATAACTTTGTTCAAATTCAAGCATATTTGTAAAATTAACATAGATTTTTAATTTTTTATGGAATCAAAAAATTCATGTTTGTTGCAATGATATTCAACACAACTTTAAAATGTCGCAATTTTTTTTTTTAACAAGTTGAAACATTACTAATGATAATAGCCATATGAAAAAAACTCTCCTTAAAGTACAAAAGTTTTATTTTATTCAAGTAAATATTACTACAATTTTGATAATTTTTGAGCTACCCTGTGTACTGTTTGACTTGCAATCATTCTAAGTGCACCTAATATGATTATTAGACATGCACCAACTTTTGGCCTTGTTTGTATTTTGATTGTGCTATTACTAAAAAAAATCCCATATGTTGCACACTTAAGTAATGACACTGTATTAGTAAAAAAAATTGTGCTTTACTATGAACCAGTATATTCTCAAGTGGTACGTCGAGTAGAGTAAATGCGAGATCTCACAAGACGCAACAAATCTCATTAAATTCTATCGAGACTCAATCTTTCGTAAAAAATCCAGGAGACACAGACAACGTAATTGATCGATTTTCAAATGACATAGATACTAATTTTCCCGATCAAATTAATAATCCTGAATCTATCGAATTAATTAATGAGCTTCAAAACATACCAACTAAAAGTCCTGAAAATGTACCAATAATTCCAAATCCTGAATTACCATCAACTTCAAGAGTTAACATTATTGAAAACATTCAAATCAGACCCCCAATCAATAACAAAGATTTATCTAGTATTGGTACTAGATGAATCCTATAGTATAAATGCAGATGAAAATTTAGTAGAAATCCCGATCCTTGATGAAGTTATAAATAATAAATCGTGTGCAAAACCACATAATGGAAGATAAATAACTTGATAATTAGTGGACTGTATAATTAGGTGGACTGGATGATCGACTGGATAGGGAACTAAAACACACGCGCTTTTCACTGACACTATATTTACAACAATTTACACAATATTTACACTATTTACAATTACTACTACAAGATGACAAGAAGCCAGAGCTTGCTTAGATGCCCAACAGGGCAGAGCTAGATTATAAAATTTATTAAAATGTGAAAAGGTTTCTGGATGCTTGTTAACGTGGACAAGCTCCAAGCTACACTGCTGCAATGACAAAAATGGCGCGCAATATATTGACAGACATGACAAAATAGACATGACGACAACGCTGCAGTGTTGCAAACTTTATATGTATAAAAATATTTTGCCATCAAAAAGAGATAGCATGATTGTTGGAACATGTTTCCAACATGCTGGGGGGCCTAGAGTTTCACATGAAACCAAGGTAAAATTTTCCAGCAAAAAAAATAAAAAAATTAAAGAGAAAGTAAGCAACCCTTTTTTTAAAAAAAGGTATGATTTCAATGATGATCCAGTAAACGAAAACTTAACTAACAATTAAAGCTAAAAACATTTCTGGAACACATAGTATGACATTATGTATGTATATACGAGTATAGCTAATTGAATATAAATATAAATCTAAATGTTTTACAAATATATGTACAGAATTTTGTGAATAATTTTCAAAAATATTATTAACAATTATTGTCATCAATCGGTAACACTGCAATCTTGGTAACCGATCTGAGATAAATACCTTTTTTGGTTTTCACTTCGACAACCCTTACTTTGCCGTCCTTTCCAGGTATTGCTTTAACTATTCTTGCCATTGGCCACTTATAAGAAGGTACATTATCCTCTTTTAAAATGACTAACAAGCCCTCCCTAAGGTTAGGCATCTCATCACGCCATTTTGGCCTATTTTGGAGTTGCGTTAGATAGTCGTGATACCACTTTTTCCAAAAATGCTGCTGCATCTGGACACACAATTTCCAAAACTTAAGTCGACCTTGGGGAATTTCCGTCAAATCAGGGTCAGGAAAGCTTGTGATAGGCGCACCTATCAAAAAATGACCAGGGGTCAAATAGTCCAAATCTGAAGGATCTTGTGACAAGGCTACAAGTGGTCGGGAATTTAAAATTCCTTCTACTTGGACAATAAGAGTATTAAATTGTTCATAGGTAAGCTCATTGCTACCTATGACTCGCTTGATGTGAAATTTTGCCGATTTTACTCCAGCTTCCCATAAACCACCAAAAACTGGAGAATAGCTCGGTATAAAATTAAATGTAATTTTTTTCCTGAAGGGAATAATTTTCAATTTTTTCTGTTTCGTTATAAAACTCTTTGATTTTATTCTCGGCTCCTTTAAACGTGGAACCATTGTCGCAGAAAATATTTGCGGGCTTCCCCCTCCGCGAAATAAAACGCTTCAGAGCAGCTAGAAAATTTTCGGTTGTCAGGTCTGAAAGCAGTTCCATATGAATTGCTTTGACTGAAAAGCACACAAAAAGTGCTATGTATGCCTTGGAACTTACGGATTTTCTAATTCGAGATTGCTTAACGAGGAAGGGACCGCAAAAATCTACCCCGACATTTTGAAACACTCTGGCTGAACAGACTCTTTTTTCCGGCAAGGAACCCATTAATTGAGTGGAACATTTTGCTTTGAATTTAAAGCAAATCACACATTTGTGTAGCTCTTTTTTAATTATCTTATTCCATTTATGAGCCAATAATTGAGGTTTAGGGAACCTAAAACTTGTCTTGGTCCAGCGTGCAACAAAGTTGAATGTTCTTGTATTATAATTAGGTAAACAATTTTTAATACTTACAATGACATCATAAAAAAGAGTTTCTACATCATCAATTGAATCATCATAGTTACCATCAAGGCACAGAATTTCAACTTGAATGTCTTTAAGCTTTTGAAAACTGTCCTGCAATATTTCCTTCCGAACTAAAAATTGGTCGGTTTTATACTCACTGTCAGGATCAGATTTGTGATCGGAAATATAACGACTTATTCTAACCATGGAGTCGATTGCTTGCTTTTTCCTTGACAATAATTTATCAATTTGCTTTTTGGTAGCCATATTTACAAAGTTTACAATCAAAAAAATAAGAAAATATCAAAAGAAATCTATAAACAAAATTTAAAATTACCTAATAAATTAGATTTTTTTTTTTTTAAAAAACTACTTAACAAAACGAAAAACGGATAATTGTTCATCCTTTAAATAAATAATGAAAAAATAGCAATAATTAATGCGAAAAATTCAGTTTTTCAAAAATAATGCAAATTCACTCAAATTCACTGCAAAAATCCAAAATACACAAACAACAAACAACAAAACGTAAACAAATGTTTGACATTTAATTTGAGGTTAAGCTGTCGGGGTGGTGAACTCTCACTTTCATGTTCGTTGCTCCGGGGCTGTACTTCATTGCACCAAGCAAGGATACTGCACCCGGGGTGACTTGGGTTGAACCAGACGAGAAAAAGAAGCACCCTTTCGAATTTGACAAGTGAAGTTTGTTTGCTCCGCCCCACTCTACTTACGCACTTCCGGTTCCGGCGGAAACCTTCGCTGGTGGCACGTGGAACCCAACCTTGTTTGAGACACGTGCAGACTGCACAGTGGATGATTGATTTTTTGCATCACATGGCGCCAAAAATCACGATGGAACAATCAATAACCACTAAAAAGACACTTTTTGAGGGTTTTTAAAGCACTTTTAGGTTCCGAACTATCCAGTATCCGGCTCGAACTGGCCAAAATTATTTGCAAAACCACATAATGGAAGATAAATAACTTGATAATTAGTGGACTGTATAATTAGGTGGACTGGATGATCGACTGGATAGGGAACTAAAACACACGCGCTTTTCACTGACACTATATTTACAACAATTTACACAATATTTACACTATTTACAATTACTACTACAAGATGACAAGAAGCCAGAGCTTGCTTAGATGCCCAACAGGGCAGAGCTAGATTATAAAATTTATTAAAATGTGAAAAGGTTTCTGGATGCTTGTTAACGTGGACAAGCTCCAAGCTACACTGCTGCAATGACAAAAATGGCGCGCAATATATTGACAGACATGACAAAATAGACATGACGACAACGCTGCAGTGTTGCAAACTTTATATGTATAAAAATATTTTGCCATCAAAAAGAGATAGCATGATTGTTGGAACATGTTTCCAACAAATCGAAACAAATTATTATATATCAAGAGAGATTGTGAGACCTTCGGTGGAAATAGGATAGTGCGTGCCACAATTCCTACTAACCTAGATACGATAACAAAGTTCCTTAGAGAAAATCTTGCTGACAAAACCACCTATATACATTTCTATTCTAAAGAATTGCGCCCACTATTTCAAGAAAGTTTAACAAAGCACTTTCGCAATTTTAAACTAATTGAATGCACTAAGTTGATAAATGATGTAGAGCAAGATGAAAGAGAAATGATGATCCCATTTTCGCATGAATTATGTGACCATCTACCCCTATAATACCACGTAAAATCCAAGTCAACGTTTTGCACATTCAGCAAGAAAGAAGATACAAAACTAGTTTTCACGCCGCTTCGCCTCAGTCATTCTGAAGCTTTCGCTCTTTGCTTTTTAATTATTGATCTATATAATTTTCGTAATAAAAAATATTTTTTAAAAATAGACATTGACATTCCGGTTATTTGAGTGGCACAGTCGGTAGAATTTTTCGAAGTTTTACGGTCGATTTGAAAAACGTTCGTTTCAACGAATTATCGGAAATCGAATATTGGTGATTAGTTCAAAAATCGTTCTAGTTACGCAAGGAGGCAGGAATTTCGAGAACAAAATCGCCGCCCATTGGACCTGTCCCTTATAGTTACCATAAGGATGCTGATCGTCTGGTTGTTGATGTAAGTACAACTTATAACATTGATGTCTGTCGAAGATTTATCTGATATATTGAATAAATTGACAATCACTTCAGCTGACTCACCAATATCTAATACGGTAGATGGCATATTAAGTAGCGCAGGTACATCGTCAAGTAACAATAGGCCCCTTGCATCAAATTTTTTTATTGCTGATTTCGATAGTCCATATAAAATAAGTCAACACGTGTTTTTTCTTTTTCTTGTTAGTCAAAAATTGACGGAGATACAACGCTTTGAAATGTCCTTCCGACGTCATAACTTAGGTATAATACGTTGTGAGTTGTGACGTCGCACATGCTCAGTATATCTATATATAAAAAACTTAATATTTGTATAACTTCCGGAATAATCATATTTGGGTGAAATTAAAAAAAAGTAACAATTTTTTTTCGATTTCCTACAGTTTGCAATAAACAATAATCAATTTAATTTTCCATGCAAGTACCCTATTTTGAATTAATAGATAATAAATCAATCAGAATGCCTGTATTCAAACCAGAGTATTTAAACTGTGTTCCCACTTTCGATGGGAACCCTAATGACATTAACAGATATTTGGCGACATGTGACAGCCTAATTCGAACTTTCTATGATACGGCAGATCCTAGTAAATTCGAAAATATCTATCTAATTAATTGTTTGATAGGAAAATTAACTGGTACAGCTAAAGTAGTAATTATTATTTGAAATGTGTCCAATTGGGACGACTTGAAATCGACGCTAGAAAGGAACTTCGCCGATCAGCGCGACAAAGCTTGCCCTAATCGCGACTTGGTTATGTTGAGACAGCAATCAAATGAAACTTCATCACACTATTATGAGAAAGTTTTACACATTTTGAACTTATTATGTTCATATGTCGATACTTACGAACATGCAGACGCTGCTAAAATACTAAAACGTAATTTATATTCAGATTTAGCGTTAAAAACGTTTTTGTCAGGTTTGAGAGA